GATTTTTCATTTTCTTGCTGTTTAGAAAAAAAAAAAAAAAAAAAAACCTCTCTCTAAAAATAATAAAAACAAACAAACAACTTACTGATGATGGGACTAGCAGACGGCATAGTAGTTACATCACTGGACTCCCACCTGGCCGACTGCGTTTGAGTCCCAGACCGGCGGCCTGAAAATCATGCCAAATGTGTGTGTGTGTGTGTGTGTGTGTGTGTGCACGCGCATGTGCCCACGATTCCAGAAGGAGAACAAAGGGGAAAGGATTGCAACATGGTCTCCCCCTCTGGGGTGGTGATTTCTCACTTTCCCTCTCATTGTCTCTGTCTCTCTCTCCAGTGAGAGCACAAAAACCTAAGGCCAAAAACCTCTAAAAAAATGAAAACAAAAAAATTGCTGAGCATAACTTGCGAGAAAGTGGGGCTCCTACAGAACAGACTGCTGGACCCAGACCTGGCGGCCTCTAGGTCTTAGAGGGCACAGGTTAGAATCGCTCTGCTGTGACACGTTACTCAAGATTCTTTTGGAAATGCTGACTTAAAGATCGCTTCATCAAAAGGAGAAATGTATTGGCTTACGGGACTGAAATGCCCAAGGGTCAGGCTTTGGAAGGGCATGACCCTGGTAATGGTACTGAGCGTCCCCAAGATCCAGTCCCTTCCCATCGCTCAGTTCTACTTTCCTCCATGTTGGCTTCACTCCACAGAGTAACAGAATTGCTGCCAGAAATTATGGGTCTACCTCTTTTCTGGCTTAAATTCAGCTGAAAAGAGCATCTGTTTCCTGAGGCACCGACATATGTCTAGTACTCACAGTGAAGCCATTTGGGATAATTCACCCATTCCAAAATCAATCATTGTAGCCATGGGTGGCCAGCCTGAGCCAATCACTGTGGCTAAGGGTCTCTGTGTGCCGGAGGTCCAGGGTGGGTCACTTGCCCACTGCTGTAGACCAATCGAAGTCCAGCGAGCTGGGAGGGGAGGTAGGGAGGGAGAAGTTGCTTCCTAAGGAATGTTCCAGGTCCCATGACCAGCAGAGGAGGTAACGGATGAAGGGATAAGGAAAACAGCAAACATCCCATACACAGAACGTACATGGTGGCCCACCCTCTGCTGCACGGGTGGTGGCG